AAAGATGAATTATCTTTAAAAATCGGTGAGGTGGAACGTTTAAAATCAGATAAATCAATTGTTGGAGGTAATGAGCCACCGGTTGATGAATTCAAAATACCTGATATATCGGCTAATAATAAACCTATAATGAATCTTAGAAAATATTTACATAAAGATATTATAGAAAAAAATAGCAAAGCTAACACGACTAAAATGCCAGAAGTAAACTCAGAACGATCCAATTTAATAGGTGATACCGATTCTTCATGTAAAGATGATACATTACAAAATATCAAGCCAATTAAGGTTATATATCCTGAAGAAAATGTAAATCCGCAAGTTGCAAAAAAGATAGACGTTCCCGGTGGAAATATTCCCAACTCTTTGGATAAATCGAATTCCGGGATTTCAGTGGGAGGAACAGAAGCAATTCCTGCTATGACAAGCGTCATAGGTTTACCAAAAACGGTATGGCTATTGCTTGTTTTGTTTATTATTATTGTTGTATGGGTTAGATCTATATGGAAAGCAAAGAAAAAAAATGAAAACCGGAATCATACGAATACATTTTTATTTAATTGATTCTTTAATCCAGTAATACGCAAAGGTAGTATACACACACGTAAAGATGGTACGCCAAAGGTTGATCCAATAAATTTTTTCGCATTTGTAATCTATTTTTTAAATATTTGAATTTATAATGTGTAGATCCCGAAAATTCAGATAAACTGCTGAAAAGATTTACTTGATAGTTTATCCTATTATGGGCAACAAATAAATAATTTTTTCTATTTATCTTAGAATAAAGGCGTATCTTAGTAATAGGTTAAAATTGAATTTATGCTAATGATAATCATAATATTAAACATTTATAAAGAAGGTATTAACTAATTACTCGCCAGAAAGAAAAATATAATAATGTTTCCACGAAAAAAATATATAATAGTTACACATAAGAAGAAATCGACTCCAGTGAGTATCGAATCCTTTAAAGAATTAAACTTGAAATTTGATGCCGTCATTGCTGAATTTAAAAAGGAAAAGGAAGCACTCATTGATAGGATTAAAGAGTTAGAAGATGAAAATAAAATGACTGATGATATAATTTGGAACCTAGTGGCTGAAAATGGAGACCTAGATTCTGAGGTATCATCACAAAATCAAGAGAACGATGCTAGATTTGCGAAATTAGAACAGACTCAAGATAGAATAATTAGTTTCTTTAGTAATAATCAATCGACTCCAGTG